AGTTTTCACAAAGGTATGTTTGAATTAAGTTCTAAAATGTAACTAGGAGTCTATCAACAGATATCACCGAGACAAGACAAGCTACAGATTGGGGAAAGATATTTATGATACATATAACTATCCACAAAATTTTTTAGAAATAAATAACTTCTACTTCTTTTAGGGAACTTGACCTAAGACACAGGCAAAAAGCAATGGTTGCCATACATGGAATCTAGAAAATAATAGACTCAGTTCAGGAGAGCAGCTAAGTCCCAAGTGACACCTATGCATTAAAATAAGAAAGCAACAAGTTCACAATGAAGCAAGGGAGAAGTGGCCTCCAGCGGAGTTTTCTGGGGCAAAAGGAAAACTCTATAGAATACTTGACATGATGAAAGACGTTAAAATAATTGTGGCTATGAAAAAGGCCAAAAGTACAAGGGGAAAAAATAATTAGAAACACCAAGTAAAACAAAAGCCAAATAGGGAAATGTAATCATAGTCTAAACTGTGATCTGCAGTGAACTATATCTATCAACCTATAAAGCTGAGAGGACTATTCATAATGATTATAAAATAGAATACAAATGTTATCAACCTTGATGATGTAATTCTAAGAATACAGATGACAAAAGTTGAGAGAAGGGAGGAGAGTCAAAAGGAAGGATGGGGCATTAATATTGTCATTTTAGATACTAGAGACCCAAGAAAGACTGTTGACACCAATAAAATAAGAAATAAAGGTGGAAATATATTATTAGACATTGTAAAGGAAGCCTATAAAGGAATCGAAAGTAGTGACATTATGATCCTAGAAGGAGGGTGGGAGGGAGGGGAAGTGGGAAGTGTTATAAGCTAAGTCCTCATTTATCAGTCTTGAAAACCATTAATTTATGTCTAAAATTAAGAAACCAAGAAACAGTGGTGTAAACATACTATTGAGAAGTGTGGAGGCAACTGCCAGAGAAAACAGTTTTTTGAATATTTGACTATTTCAAGTCTTTCTTTCTTTACAGGGCTAAACTTGGTGGTAGAGGTATATTTTGTGATTTTTAGCTTTTCACTATGTTCTTCTGTACTACTTGACTTCAGAATCACATACAAGTATAATTTTAATTTAAAAAAAGCTGAAAGGAGCAGGAAAAGAAGTCTAACAATTTAATTTAGAACCAAGTTTTGGTTCTATCGTTCTTTTCCATATTTGTACCTTATGATTGATACCCTACTTGATGGCATTTGCTCCATTTGGTTATCTTAAAAAAAAAAGTTATGAATTTAAGCAGTGATCCCAAAGAAACCCCTTTAAAATTTCTATATCCTTTCTGGATCTGTGTTAATGTACATACATGCTTTTACAAAGTTGTAAAGACCCTTCTGGGTCTCAAACCTCTATCCTCTTCTCTTCATACCCTCCAGGAAAATGACCTCAGCACCCCCCTCTTATGGATGGGACTAGGTCCTTCAGTGAGCCCTCTCCTCCAGTGTCCCTTTTCCCCACCTGAACTCTAGTCATTTGTCCTCTGACTCTTTGAAAGACATGCCAAAGCTGATCTCTTCACCTCTCCTCTCCATCCCAGTTCTTGCCCTCTTGCTTCCTCTGCATCTTTAATTTTTCTTCCATACTTTTTGTCTTGCCTATAACCATACTCAAATCTTCCCTACATTTAAAAGCAAAACCCAAAACTGTATCTTCTTTCATGTACCTCAGAATCTCTCAAAAGAAACATATCCTCACAACTAATTCATCTTCAGTGGCTTATCATTCCTCTGCCTCATACCCATACACACCTGCTCTACTGAAACTGCTCTCTCCAAATGATCAGTGATACCAATGTCCAAATCTACTGGTCTTTTCTCAGACCCCCCTCTTCTCACTGCTCTGCTGCACTCCCCACTATAGACCATCTTCCTCTCACTGATACTTTTTGCTCCCTTTGCTTCTGACACTTGTAGAACAAATCTCCCATGGGAATACAAATATACTGCAATCAGCTGGCAATATTGTAACAGAATATACCCAGGAGTTACAAGATGTGAAACAAGTATAGTGAATAGTTCTTTAAAGTTTACATATAAACCTAACCTATGAGAAAATAAACTTGGTAGGAATACTATTTATGACCATCTTAAATTATCCCAGCTGGCAACACTTGAGCTACAGACCTAACTCATATAAAGATATTCAAGACAGATGTCTTACATTTAGTAGTAATTGTCTGCCAATTTTATAAAACTAGTATTTTTAGTTTTTCTTTTAGCAAGTACATTCATAGCTATTGGGGCTTCTCATAATATTCATATTAAAGTGGTTGAGATTAAGGAAGATATGAAAGGTTTGTGTTCTGTAACCTGTAAGTGTGGCTTGGCAGAAAGCTGCCCACTGTTGTCTGCCTCTCATCTTTATCCTTAAATTAAAATATGGCTGCTCTACAGTGATAATTTCTGCATTAATTCAAACAACTGTCAACTTACATTTATAGACAAAGTCACTATAAATATTAGCTTGTATAGATGCAGAAAAGTGAGAACCTAGAATACACTATCAGCGTAAGTTATTGGAAATGGGGCAGATGCAGAATGCTTGCAAGGTTATGATCACAAGGAAGAGCAGAGAAGTAGTGAACTCTTACTACATCCTCGCCATGGAAAAGCAGGTATACCACTTTTAGTGATGTGAGGTTTGTGAGAGCACAGCTCTTTTACATTTCCTCATTTAGAGAAACACTGGGTATAAAGGCCTACTTCAGTGAAGTAAAGGCTAGACATGGCTGAGATTGGGAATCAAGCATTCTCTCTCTGCATCCAATCTGGTTTCCCACTTACATTTCCAACCCAATATTTCCTTTCACTTTATTCATTTAACAAACATTTGAGTATGTATAAGCTGTTTCTAGGTGCTAGGGATGCAATATTGAATTAGACATTCCTCTAAGGAAGTTACAAGTTGAGCTGAGGTCAGAATGAAAAAGAGCCAGCCAAGCTATGAACCAGGGGAAGTGTTTAATGGAAAAGAAACATGTTGAACAGGAGCAGGAATGAGCTTGGAACATTTTAAGAGGTTATGTAACATGTTAAGAATGGAAGCGGGGTGGGGTAGGGGGATGGGTGGGGCACAGCATGGACAAGGGAGCAGAAGTGGAAAGTGATGTGTTAGAACTATAGCAGTTGTCCAGGTAAGAAATATTAGTGGCTTGGGGTATGGTGCCAGCAGTGGAGAGAATCGACAAATTCAGTATATTTTGGTGTCTGTTGGTCACAGCCTCTGAGTAATCAAGGATGACTTCAAGATTGGTTTGTGTACCTGGGTGGGTAAATGCATGGTGGTATCATTTACTGAGCTGAAGGCTGGAGGAAAGAACAGTGTTAGGGAGGAAAATCAAGAGTTGCTTCACTGGGCTGGCCCCGTGGCGTAGAGGTTAAGTGCGCGTGCTCTGTTGCTGGCAGCCGGGGTTCGGATCCCGGGCGCACACCCGTGCACCCGGAATGGCATTGTCAGGCCATGCTGTGGCGGCGTGCCATATAAAGTGGAGGAAGATGGGCACAGATATTAGCCCAGGGCCAGTCTTCCTCAGCAAAAAAAAAAAAAAGAGGATTGGCATGGATGTTAGCTCAGGGTTGATCTTTCTCACACACACAAAAAGAGTTGCTTCACATGCCACGTCCTCCAACCAAACTTCCTCATTTGGGTCCACATTTTTCCAACTCCTTGCCTATTTGAAAATAACATTCCCTCTACCTAAAATGCTCTTCTTCCTCCCTTTCCCCCCACCCATGCCTACAGCAACCCACCTCTCAAAGCCACCTCTAAAACTTCCCTGATCTAACACTCATCCTATTTATCCCCTAAACTGAATAACTCATTCCTCTAGATTTCCTGGAACGTTATTTCTACCTAAGAAATATAATACTTACTACCTTGCATTAAATTTTATATATATATTTATATATATATATTATTTCTCAGAATGTGAGCTGCTGTCTCATCCATCTTTCTATTTCTGACAGTACTGTACTAGAGTGTTTTTTATACATGAGATGGAGAAGACTCAAAATTGGCAAACATTTAATGTTACCTTAATCACAAAGCCTTTACAAATATAAGTTAGACTGCCAGGATCTCATTAACACACATTATTTAAATTAAAACAAAATTTAAGACTATAAAAGTCAAATTCTTTCTGCATATAATAGCTGAAATGTAAAGGGATCAACTTCAGAGAATATACTGAAAAACAATACTTAAATGAGACAAAAATTGCTAATGAAATCAATAGAAATTAAGTAGATCAATTTATTTTTTCGTATATTTCACAAGTATAATTTTGGAAGGGCTATTTGACAAACTTGAGCATTAACTGCCAACTATAGACATGTTCAACAAAAAAGGCATTTACTCTTGGCCCTTTTAATACAGGCAAAGTGTCCTATTGCATCACAACTGATAGAGATGCAGTAACAGATCCGAGGGCATATTAAAGGAACTAGATGTTTTCTTTCAAATGCTGTTGATAAGTAACATATTACAAACATACATGAACGGTTATCATGACCACCAGTGATTTGCAGAATAAAACCCATAGGCCTACCTACTTAAAAGGCCGACACGAGTAAAAGTTTTGAAATCTGTTTTTATCCTTAGATTAACAATCCCAGAATGACATTTCTTTGATCCCAATTTTACAAGGTGTGGTGAGGAGTTGGGGAGAAGGGATATGGAGACTGGCAGTGCATGCTGAGTTGCAGAGTTAGGAGAGTGGCTCAAATCAGTCATATCCAGATTAGGATGGTGTTTTAGAAAATTAAAAATGTGTCCTTAATTGTGGCATATTGGGAAGGATATTAAGGATTGATAATTCATCAGCTCTAAATACCATTTAATGAATACCATCAGGGGGCTTAAGAAATAAGCAGGGATGGTGATAAAGTAAAATGAGGTGAAAAAAGAAAATGACAAGTGGAAGAAATGTGTTTGAATGTTGGGGAATGTAAAAAGGTCACCAGAGAAACCGCTTTAATTGCCACTCAGATGTGTTCTTCCTATAGACTACTCACCTCTGGATAACCAAATACCAAGTTTAGAGCACAATTTAAGTACAGATTACATTTTGGCTTTGATAAAACTTCACTAATCTGGATTGAAAAAGAATACATGTCTAATTTAATAAAAAGTATCAATAAATATTCAGAGGTATAATTTTGTTACATCAAGTAAAAAGAGCAACTAATTCCAACAAGTGAAGTAATAACAAGTACAGGCCTTACCAGGCCTGCCTTGATGAACAATTAAGACATTTTTAGGTCAACAGCACAAGAATATTGAGTAACTTGTAAACAGACTGCAAACATGCTCCTTCTAGTTCATTAAAAACAATCCAACAATCCTTACTATCCCAACATGCCAAGAACCGTCATTGTTTTAGCCAGATGTAGCCTTTAAAAATGAAATGTTTCTTAAAACTGTTCTATCAAAGTAGGAGCCACTGAACATCAAACAGGTCATTTATTTCAGACTTGAGCCAATTTTCATGAAGTATTTTTTATCTCCAACTTCACTTTACTCCAACGTTAATTTATCATAAACGGGACAATGATTAAAATTAGCCATTTCTCAAACCACAACTCTGAAATCATAGAAATGGATGATGAAGCTCATCTAGTCAAACTCTTCATTCAAGCAATGGTAAAACAGACTGCAAATACGTCTTCAATAAACTGAGCTTTGAGGCAGAACAGAAAATAGAAAAACGTAAAACCTCTCTATCCCAAGCACCAATAATGGAGGCTAAGCAATTATACCTACAAATCCTTAGTGATAGGTCTTTTCTAATGGAAAATCCTGAGATTTTAAGTACTGTGAATTTACAGAAGGCAGGTTGGTTTAATGAGGAAATTTACTTTTAATAAAAAGACAATAATATTTGATTTTGGGCACTTACTCAGTATTTCACAGATCCTCAACAAATTTTGAGGTAGGTTAAATATTAGCATTGTATTTTACAAACTAAAACCCAGAGGTTACAGCACTTGTCGCAAACCACAGTAGGAGTCCTATCATGGTCAAGAATAACATGGTCTCTGATCTTTCACATTAATCTTCTCAGACTATGAATTTAATGGTGATAGCTTGCAAATGTTCACTAAAAAAAAGACTAGATATTACAGAAATTCTACTTTGAAGTACTTTATAATTCTTAAATCGATTCTACAATGATTATACAATATTGTGGAATAACCTACTTGCTCCCATTACAAATATATTTATATATGTAACTGATCCTTAAAATGACAAATTAGCACATTACTGATTTTGTTGCTTTTCTGCCTTTTGGGGTGGGTGGGGCAGGAAGATAATCAGCAAGTTTTCCTCAGAGCGCTAGGCAGCCTTAAGTGCAGGTGCCATGCTCAAGGCACCATCTATGATGATTTGGGGTCACAGGAAAGCAGGTATACAAATGTAGCCAAGATCCAGAAAAAATGCCTGGATCCACATGAGGGGAGGCCTTGTGCAAGTCAAAGATGAAGAGAAAAATACTATCATTTCAGGCTACTGATCCTCATTATCATGCTACAGCATTACAACTTATGGGAAGAGCTCCTAAAAGAGCAGTAAATTTGTCCCAATAAAGCCTGTTAAAGTTCTTACTAACTAGATAAACCACAAGTAAAATTAAATTGATATTTTATTAAAGTGACATCTATAGAAGCAAAATATCTAAATATTTTAATATGAATATGTTCCACCTATAATGTAAATTACTCTAATTGTCACAAGCCTAATTCACTTAGCTCATTATAATTACTTCAAATTATTTACCAGAATTCAGCTCATCCTGACATAGGTTCCTGGGCCAGTCTTCTCAACTATTTGTTTCATTATAAAGTTCCTTTTATTTAAACAATTGTCAAATATTAGTATTAATACAGGAGTAAGGGTAGTTAACAACTGAGAAATTATAAGGAAAACATCATTGTTATAAAATACAGCATTCAGCAGAGAAAATTTCAAGAGTAAGGATATAGACACCTATGCTTCTGAATAGACTGAACAGCACAGCCCAACACGATTTGAGTCAAAGAAGCAAGAAAAAAAAGAGGGAGGGGCCACAGGAGGCAGAGTATTTAAGCCTTTTATTCTAGTGTCCCCAAAATTTGACTGTGGAAGTAAAAAGTTTCTACATTAAAAAAGTTTATATAAATTACATGAATTGCAATTTTCATAAAAGTCAAAATAAAATGTTCTGCATAGGACAAAAGATATGCCTAAGCAACATATCATATTTGCACAAGGCCACTGAATGTCATGGATATTAGCAACAAATGAAAAAGCTTAAGTCTCTGGCAGACTGAACAAAGATTTCCGTTTGGTATTCTGTAAGCCTAAGATTGTAAACTACTCTTACTATACAAAAGCTCTAATGACATACAGAATTTTGTGTAGGAACTCTTGTGCTTCTGGTTGGCACATCATCTACTTTTTAATTTGTGAAATTAATACAGACATTTGTGAGAGGTTGTGCAAAACTACTGTATTTACAAAAATGGCACAAAAGTGAATTCAACAGTCGAGGCACATGCACACTTCATTCACATCTTCAACAACAAAAGGTATTCTAATACTACAGAACTGAATAAGAATACAAGCTTCAACGGCAGCTGTTAAGCACTAGAGTCACATAAGGTACACCAGAATGGGCAAATATTGCCCAAGTAAAATTCTATTGTTAAAGCTGAAACAGGTTTAAGGCCATTCAAGTTCAAGCACAGAAATACAAATCTTTTGGAGCCCCATCTATTCGTGTTTAAAATATGTGACCTTTCTCCCAACTTGTGGTCTTAAACTTCTGTTTTACAAAATCCAAAAGGAAAATACAGAAGAAATCAATATAAGAGGTTATATTAAATAAGAGTAACATACAAAGCTATAATTAAGATGAATTAAAGAAAGCCAAAACATTAAAATTGTAAAACTTGCTTGTTACTTGTTGGAACCAGTCCTACACTAGGAGTTAGGTAATATATACAATTATTTTCAAGTAGATTACTTTATGTTGCTCTAACATGTTCTTTTCATCAGTGCACTGTTAAGCTAATCAAAAATTCTACACATGTATAGTCCCTTACAATAGCAGCACACACTACTGCAACCTGCCAAGCTGTCACTCTCAAATGACTTAGTGAACGAAAGGAAAGAAAAAGCAGAGAAGTAACATATTAAGGAGAAATAAAGAGAATTAGAAGATTCATGCAGTTCAGCTCTTTTAATCAGCCAGCCAGCTTGCTGGCAACAAGGGATGGTTTCCGTTGAGGAAGGTCCTGTGGAGTGGGAATGTGGTCACCAGTGACCTCTGTCTTATCCGGAGCTGCAGTAGGAAGTTGCTTGTTCTTCATTTTTGCTTTAGCCATGTTGTAATCCCCAGAATCGAAATATTTTTGCTACAAATTAAAAAAAAAAGAAAAAATTCAGACTAGAGTTTAAAAGCTTTCATATGCAATTACATTGATTTCAGATGTAGATGTGAGCCTATACTGCATTAAATTAGTCTAAAAAAATTTAAACAAAACCATTAATTAGATGCAATAGCTATGTTTCTGTAGTGAATGCTAGCATGTTAACAACTGAGAAATCAGGCAAGAACCTCTTATTCAGGTTTACTTGGATCACTCTGGTTCTAGTATGAAACTCTTAAGAATGATATCAACTGCCTCATCAGTCTATCTGGAACGAATAGTAAAATGCAAACCTTTCATTTACTAATGAAAAAACCAGGCTGAAATTCTTGCTTAAATGATTTTGAAAAACACATAATTCACCAACTTGCATTTAGGAAGTGCCACCCACTTTCAATGCTGGTACTCTCTCATCTAGGACAAACATTTCTGCAAGGATTTAAATCATTTATTTGAATTAGAGCAGTTTACTAAAATCAAAATTCAGGTTAAAATATAAATGCTAGGGTAATCAAAGAAATAAATGCATTACAAATTAATTATCAATTAAAATGCACATCCCCATCCTAGACCTCCATATTTCACTTAGGACATTGAATAAGTACAACTATTGCTCTTTTTTGTTGAAGGGATAAATAAGGTAACAATCATACCCTTATCATTAAAATAGAAATGGTGATGACAGCTAAAGATCAACCTTAATATAGCCAATCTATATGAGTAATCTGTCCCAGAGTAAAAACAGATGCATTTGCCTGGGTTCTGACTTCCACCTATCATGTTTAGCCTACCTTTACTGAGTGCCTGCTATCTATACATGAGGCACTCTGTGAATCCTGGAGAGAGATACAAAGATGGACAACAGTCAGGAAAATCAACCATTATACTGTTTTAAGTAGACGAGGTGTCATGGGTACGCAAAGGAGGGGAACCTCCATCTGGGGTAGGCAAGAGGCAATAATCCAGATATGAGATGAGGGCCTGGACAAAGGGTGAAGGGGAAAAAACTATAAATATTCTCTGAGACTTCAGGGATACTTCATGGGGTAAATGAAGTTGCTGGGAACTCATAGATTAGTATAAAATTGTTGAGTGGCCTGGGAAAAGGTCTCATTGGTTGCCTCCCACCAGGGACTATTCTTTGATAAGCTAGATCTGGCCTAAGGCCAAAGAGTCTAATGTTAGAAATAGCTTTTCATATGTCACTATACATGTAACACATTGAACAGTAACAAGGAAACCTGGACCAGGCCCTTCTAACGCTTGCTGCAGCTTCATTTCTGCATGTTTTAAAATGAGTGTAGTGAAAAAAAAATCTCACAACTTCTGAGGCACTGTATTATATTAGAGAGCTACTTCTGAAGTTTAGTAGCCTCTAGAGAACAAAGCAGGCTGCCAAATATTTTACTGAGTCAAAGGCACAAAATGAGAAATTTAACACACAGTGCAAATTTTAGGCATATTTTTCCCAATGTAATAAAATCAGTTTCTAATGATGCCTATTTTATGGTAAGCAAAAATTCATCATAAGGGGATCTCATTTAACTGTAGATTTGGCTACTCTGCTTGGGGAAAAGAAATTAAATTTATTTAGTGTGGCTAGAAACAAAACTAAAATCAATGCTTAACAATTATAACTGCTCCAGCAATAGGAGTGAACATTAATGTTTCTCATATTGGGACAGATACAGTTTAAGAAGACAATATTAGTTGTCTTAAACAATTTTTAAATTTTGCATTTTTAACTGAAGATCTTTAAAAATTAACAAAACATTCTGGATCATCTGGATGACATTCTTCTAAAAGCCTCCTCCCCCCCAAATTTAGGGGCCACACTTAACATCAGTATTTATAATTACACTGACACTAAGTGATCACCTAAAGTGACAATATTTAACCTTTAAGGCCATATTTATTAAAACTGGATCCTCATTTTTCTTGGGACTTCACAAACTCCACAAATACAAAAAAACATGGGCCAGATTGCTTCCTGATAGATATCTCTCTCAGCTTTGACAGTCTATGTCACCGTATACACGATATATTGTTAAAAGCCTAAAAGAGGTGTCATAATAATATTAATAACTACAGTAAAACAGAAAGGGACCTAATATACATAATATCTAACCAACCCTCTCAAATGAAGAAGAAACTGTTTAAAGGTACTAAGGTAACTTGCCAGCTTGCTATTATGAGAGAGGAAAACTAAAATCCAGGACCCTGTAATCCAGACATTTAAAAAAAAACAAAACTCTTTTAACAAAGTAAGAAATGATACAATTGAATATAAGATTTCATTTCCCTAATATGAAAGTGCTTATTCATTGACATTTTGGTATAAAACAGAATAATTCAAAAGCTCCCTTCTCAAATTCTATGTGATTATTTAAGTGGCATTTTCTTATCTGCAACTATTTACATCTACAACACCAACTCCAAGATACTTAAAATGCAAAAAATAGTTGAAGCTAGAGGAAAATTACAAAGACAACAGCCCAAATGTTGGAAGAAAGCCTATTAGCATAAATTATGCTAGTGATGAGCAAAGGAAAAAAGTTTCCTAAACAATAACAATCAGTCAAATCTCAAATCCAAATAACAACTTAATAGTCAAAGACTATATAATTTATTTCATATCCAAAACCACACCTGATGGGACCATTTCAAAATCAGACTCAGTATAAATACATTCTACATAGTTAGCTTTGTAATGAACATGTTTCTCATTTTGCTTTTTCAATTTATCCCTTCAATTATGGTCTTTATAATTATGCTTTTAGATGACCATATAATATTCTATTTTGTTGACTTATCACAATTTATTTAACTGTTTCTCTGCTATTGAATAGTGGTGCTGCTTCTAATTACCATTAAAGCTACAAAGAATATCTTCAAACTTGAAGACTTTTTCCTTATACTGAATTATGCTTAGATTAATTTACAAGAGATTATTCATTCAAAGAATATGAACATTTTCATAAATCTTGATCCATACCCCCTTCCAAAATGAGAGTAATAACTTTAAATGCTACACACAGCAAAGAACATATTAGCAACATTCAACTTCAAACTTACCAGTGGGTATTATTTTGAATATTTTCCTAATTTAGTTGTATGTATAATACGGTAAATATGGTATGATTGTTCTAATTTACATTTTGTTGATTTCTATCATGGATAAATATTTTTCTCTGTGCTTAATAACCATACTTCCTCCATTAAAATCCTTTATCTGGAGGCACTATAATGTTTTTCTTGTATATTTGAGAGATCTCTTTAAGTATTTCAGATATTAACTATCATTTTTGTAATAATTTCCCCACTGAATTACTTCTCACGGAACAGAGGTTTTACATTTTTATATATCTGGTATAATTCTTCCTCGTCATCCTTTTATTTCAAAGCTGTGATTCTTTCATGTAAAATAAAAAAATATCATTCTATTATTTCGCCACTTTTAAAAATAACTTGTTCAACTAAATAATTTGTTAAAATATTCTTTTGATAGAAAGACAAATAGTGTGTGATCTCACTTATATGTAGAATCTAGAAACATCAAACTCATAGAAATAGAGTAGAATGGTGGTTGCCAGGGGCTGAGGGGTAGGGGACATGGGGAGACGTTGGTCAAAGGGTACCAACTTTCAATTATAAGATGAAAAGTTTCAGGGATCTAATGTCTAACATGGTGACTACAATTAACAATATTGAATTGTACACTTGAAAGTTGCTATGAGCAGGACTTTAATGTTCCCATCATAACAACAAAATGGTAATTACGTGAGGTAAAAGATGTGTTAACTAACCTTATTGTGGCAATAAGTACATGTATCAAATCATCATATTGTACACCTTAAATTTATGCAATGTCATATATCATATCTCACTAAAGCTGGAAAAAATGTCATTTTGAAATTTGGTTTATTTGACGAAATAATCCATATATAACTATAGCTAACATGTACACATATAAACACACACGCATACACACTGATATGTTTTTGTAAGCAAGCAGCAGATACCAGTAAATTTAAGGTATTTATTTAAGAAGAAATATGATTTGGCATCTGTCTGATTCAATAAATAATTCTTTTCCATAAGTAATATTTCATCTTTCCCTGCTCCTTGTAAGGTTAATAACTTAAATGTGTTTAAACTGAAGATGGAGCCTTTTCATTTTTTATAAACAAAGGAAGGGGTTAGAAAAGAAAACCTAAGGAACAAACATGTAGCATTATGTCAATTCAGATCTCATTACTGAGAGATAACGGTTTCTACCTCACAAAACATGGTAAGATTTTGAAAAAATGTTTTCAGTAATTTAAACTACTAAAATTACAATGTATAAATTGTATTAGAGTAACTCTGTGAGGAGTTATGTAAAGGACATAGTGAGCTATGGTTTTATAAGCGATCATTTCATCCAAATAAAAAATATTTTAAGCCTTTGAATATTGTGTGGAAATCACCTTTAAAACCAGTACAAGTTAAAAAAATATGGGCACAAGGATGAATACCAGCTTCTAGATAGTGGTTGCTTTTGGAGAGAAGGGATATATATACATACGAGGTAGGTTTCAACTACATCTATATTTTCTTTCTTACAAAGATAAAACTGAAGTAAATATGGCAAAGTATTACATATTAAATCTGGATGGTGAGTACATGGGTTCTGTTAAATATTATTATCTGCACCTTTCCACATGCTTAAAATAGTTTATAGTTAAATGTGCAAGAGCTGTAGATTCTTATCATACATATTTATAGAATGAACAGTATAAAACATTGGAAAAAACATTTTACATATATATACAGGGTAAGGTACACAACTAGATACGCAGATACCCATTTCACAATCGCTACTGGCACACTGAGTTCACAGGGCTTAAGAATTTGAAGATTACACCTGAGAACTTACCCCTTTCTGCAAACGTTTCCTTAAAAAATCTGAACCTCCAGGCTTTTGTCCCAGATGAGGATACCTTGCTTTTAATTTTGCTTCTTCAGCTTTCTCTGGACTAGTCACTTTATCTTCCATTTCCTGAAATAATTTTAAATAAATTACTTCTCTATAACAATTCAGTAATTTAAAATAAATCACTTTTAAATACCTGGATTCTGACCTTAGTTGTTGAAAGCCAAATAACGCAGCATCTGACTAAGAAATCAAGCACAGAAGCTTTTAAAACATCTCTATCTTATTTTTCAAATGATCCATGTGATAGCTCTATTATAGCTGTGATGCATGTATAACACCCCACACACTGGATAAAAATATCAAGATAGCTCAGCTCTGAAGTCTTGCTTGCCATTACTTTCCAGTTATGTATAATACATTTATAGTTAGTCACCTTAGTCACCTTCTATGGAACTCACCAGCTCTTTGCCTATATTTAGAGAACCATCTTAATACTGTTAAAATACAAAAGATCTTTTTGATTTCCTGTTTAGCCAAAATCATGTATGATTGGAAGCTCCTGAGATTCTTTAATGGAAATTACCAGCAGCTTACTTCTCAGCACATTTTCCCTGAATAACTCAATACAGAAGACCCTGATATTTGTAAAGGAGAGAAACATTTTCATCAATCTTCGCATCTGTGTATATTATTGCTTAATTTCCCCCCATATTTAATGACACTGTTCACACCCAAGATTCCATTCTTTAGTGTATCAAAAACGTATTTTCTGACCAAGGACTGTTAATATCTTAAGGCTATTCACTTTTAATATTAGTCTTGATATATAGTCTACTTTCTTCCCAAGAGCCACATTTTGTAGGGAAGCAGTGTTCATCGTTTTATGGCAAGTACTGCAGAAGGAAGAATGAATCACGAAAACACAGCTGCCCTGATAGGGAAGACTGGGCAACGGCAAGGCACACTTTCTAGCTAATGGACTCATTTCTGCATACAGCTCAGCAAAATCACACACCTCTGCATATCTCAATTCTTCCAGGTTATTAATGAATAGTCAAAAAGCAAGAATGCTAAATCCGTAAATGCCAAGCCTGCTGTTCTTGCACAGCAAGTAAATCACTCATCAATTTAGGAACCGAAGAAACCATGTAAGTTTTGCATATATTTTCCTCAAATTATATTCATACATGTTTTATAATCAGCTTTATGCACCTTATGTATTGTCAATATCTCCTTCATCTTGAATAGCTTCCTCACGTGTTGTTACGTCTCATTTTTAGCCTTGGAGGATTTTGAGAATAAAGCTGCTGCTGTCAAATATACTTTTTCTATGGGGATTCTTCTATGTGTATGCTCCTTTCTGCTTCAAATGTTTTACTTTCCTCCTTTTATGTTATAGTTTCATGCATCTATTTTGATGTTCAGTCTCTTTACAGTGGTCACATCATTCACTCACTTTATGTACACAAAATTCAACTATGTGTGTTCAGCCAGAGATAGAGGTTCTAAATAGCAACAGTGACTCTGCGAGTCATTCCACTCAAGAAGGGTATGCCTCAGAGAGAGCTCCAGTGTGAGGTGTGTGATGCAAACCTGCTGTTCCCATGAGGGTCTCAATCCCCGGGTATCTTTCAGAATGTAAGTGTATCAACATACTGTTTATCATTCTAGTGTTTAAAAATTCAGCCCCTAGAACACAAATCTACTACCTCCGCTGGCAATCAACTGAAGAATCAGCCCAGCCATCCGTCCAACACTGAAAAAAAGTGACTACCTGACCTACTGAGAATTGATGGGGCAGTCTCCAATATGATCATCACTTTGCTGGAATTTTTCAAGGGTGATTTTAGTTATATGCAATTTTTGCCTTACTAACTTTAGAACCTAACTCCATGTAAGATATTACTACACTGTACTTTCCACAAAAGCTGGAGAAATAATATAAATTTAAGGTTACCTGTTTAGTGTAGGAAGGTGGGCTGGGTCACTGCACAGTTTCTTCTCTGGGGCTCAGCCTTCACTGTAGGCACCTACTATAGCCCCAGGGCATTCGAAGTGTTGCAACTCAGAAGTGGAATTGGGAGGAGGGACCTACTCTTGGGTTCTCCTGCACAGCTGTTTTTTAAATGGGTTGACATTAAATTTGGATGTGGGTTGAAAAGGAATCCAACCTGATTACAGCCTTCCAGTCCCAGCACTTTCAAATTAAAGAGTGTTAATGGAGTCCTGCATTTCCACTAAAACCACATAGCTTTCTTGGGCCTAGGAAATGAGGGCTCTCCACTTCTTTCTCTGATTTGAATCATCAGTTCTCTGTATCTAAGAAAGATTCCTGAAAATTTCTGGTATAGTAGTGGCAATTTTCCCTAGTTTGCAGTGTTTCTTCAGGTTTCCCCCATTTTACAAATAAGGGGGAAAAAACTATACACAATATACAATCTTATCTGGCATCCTCTTATTTTCTTAATAAGGAATACATTTATGTATATATTTATATATAAGACTGAGCATGTTCAATTAAGCTAAAATAGTTTACTACAGAAAAATGTTTTGGGCAAAACAGCAACCACTGGTGAAAATATCACTTAGGTGGTAGAATGGATTTACTGTGTCCTAGAAAAACAAACCAATTCTTGAACTCTCTTGCGAAATACATGGCACAATGGCAAGTACCTGTTAGTTGCAACTTCGCGTAACTGGATTCAGAATTTCAGCTGCATATGACACCAAAAAGGGGAAATATATGACCAAAGCTACATTTTTTTAAACATAGTAAATACCATCAAGATGTCTACAATACCTTTCATGGATCACACATTCTTAACTTTCTGCACATGTAGACAGTTCTAGGACTTTACTGATGGGTTCAAATGCTTGGATGTTCACCAACGTTCTGACACAGCTACAGATTTGCTTGTCGAGTGAAGTATAAATAACAGATCAGGTGGCGGACTGTGTCCACTGGCATTCAGCCCACATTTACCCTTCTCTAAACACTCCCCTGAATCACTACAGTTAGAAGCCTGTAACTACACTTCCCAGACTGAATTCCTATTAGGTTCTGTCAACGGCATCTAGATCAGATTAAAAGCCATGGGAAAAAGAATCCATTCTGTTCCTGGTGATGCCACCAACAATGTGCAGACAGCAGTAGCCCCTGTGAGCTCCTGTGGAGGGGCATGGAGCAGATAATCAGGGGCTATCACTGTAGCAGCTACATGAGAGGTGGGGTAGAGGACACTGGGCTCAGAACAGTGCTCACTTTGCAGGGTCAACAGCTTTCTGCCATCCCTCACCTCTGGAAACATCATCTTCCCTCTTTTGCTCCTCTATCCCTTCTAAAAATCTGTAACCTAATTCCCTATATCACATCCTTATCTATTTGAAATACCCAAAGTGTTTTCTATTTTCCAGACAAGACACTAAATGATAAAATCAGGAAAAAAAGCAATTTATCCCAATAGTCATGTTAAAAAATACAAAAGGGGACACAGAATTTGGTGTGATTGCATGTTTCCAGACATCCTTCAAAGGAATTCCTAAACATTTACTTCAGCTAGAATGAAAATAAATCCCAAAAAAGGTTTGAGATATAGAAGAAAACAGCAAAGATATTGGTATATATGCATGATACTAACAAGCAAGTCACTTTTCTAATTTTTCCCCCAGCTTTATTGAGATACAACTGACATATCACTTATCACTTTTCTAATTTTAATGTCTTAATACATGAAGTTAAAAACGGACAAAACAAAAATACTATAACAGTACAGTATTTTTAGAGTTTAAGGGTTCTATAGTTTTGTATCATTTAGAAAAGGGTTTATGATAATATTACATTTTGTTTAGTTAAAGATGCATGAGAAAATTTCAAGGGGGAGCCAATTAAATAACAGAAATAAAATAACTTCTAAACTAATAGTGGAGGTAAAACGGCAGAAGAAAAGAAAATCAACTGGGGGAAGAAAAAAAAAAAGAGGGAGGAGGGCAAGAAAGGAGAAAAAACCAAAGACCAAAGAGAAGCAAAGCCCCGCCTGGTGGCAGACTGGTTAAGTTTGCATGCTCCGCTTTGGTGGTCCAGGGTTCTCAAGTTTGGATCCTGGAGCGGACCTACACACTGCTTATCAAGCCATGCTGTGGCAGGCATCCCGCATATAAAATAGAGGAAGATGGACACAGATGTTAGCTCAGAGCCAATCTTCCTCAGCAAAAAAGAGGAGGATTGGCAACAGATGTTAGCTCAGGGCTAATGTTCCTCACAAAAAGAAAATAAATTAAAAAAAAGAAAAAAATAAAAAGCAAAATGTCAGATGGGAGAAACAAATCTCACTATGTCAATAACCACAATAAACATAAATGGACTGATAAACTGTCCATTTAAATCTAGCAGCTGGATTTAAAATCTAGCTACTTGCTGAGTACAGAAAAAAAATCTAAATATAAAGACACAATTGAAAGTAAACATATAGGAAAACCAAAAACAACATAGCAGGCAAATGCTAACAAAAATGGAGCTAGTACACCTATATTAGTATTAGATAATACAGACTTGGAGACCAAAAGCATTACTAGGGATACAGAGGATCTAAATATTCATGCCTCTAATAAAAAAGCCTCAAAATATATAAAGCAAAAATTGACAGAATTACAGGGAGCAACCGACAAGTCTATCAGCATATATTTCAACACACCTTCCTCAATTATTGGTAGATGAAAAACAACAAAGCAGTCGAGATACCTGATTTTAATTCTACACCCAACAATTAGGAAATGCATATTCTTCTAAAGCACAAATAGAAAAATTGACTAAATCCTAGGCCATAAAGCAAGTCTTAACCATTTTCATCCAAACCACCACCTATGACTGCAATGCATTACGTTAAAGGGCAAAAACAAAAAAATTTATATATCTCTACCATTTGGAAATTAAAATACATTACAAAATAATTCATGGTTATATAATGAATCATGGGAATAAAAAAAATTCTTGGAACTCACTGATAATGAAAATTCTACATATACCAAACTTGTGGGATACAAGTGTCCCTTAAGGGCTTAAATTAGAGAAGAAAACTAAAACTCAATGAGCTATGCATCCAAGTTAAGAAGTTAGACAAAGAACGGAACCTAAAAAGAATAGGAGAAAATAAAAAGCAGAAATTAATGAACAGAAAACAAAGATACAATGGAGAGGATCAACAAAGGGCGGAAATGATAAGCTCAACCAAGAAGAAAGTATTTTTTAAAATCCAAATCTGGTTTTGAAATTTTATTCTCCAAGAAACCTTTGTATTATACAGCAATTTTACTACTTTTTAGAAATAGATGCTGGAATATGAGTGGATTCATTTAGACGAGTGGTTTCTATGCTGATAATAACTTGTGGTGGGGGGGCAGGAATCATTAGAATTCTGGAACTTTTGACTACAGGCTACAAACTGGGTAGGCAGTAACCCAGGATATCTTAACAGAGATACATGCTTACGATGTATTAAAAAAAACCTTGAAAACTATATTTTAAATGATAGTTATCCTCCTGACAAGTACATATGCCCCAAAATAATCTTCGTTGTATACTCTATTCCTAGCACAGGGTCTAACATTTATTAATGTTAGGCACTTACATTTTTTGTGAACTATTCTATTGAAATACCTTAGATATCCTTTCTGTAAGTAGGTTGGGTATAAGGTATAAATACATACACATAAAAAGAACATTTAAATAACTAGGGATTATTTTGTAGTCTGTCATGGACTGATGATAAGTCTGAATGACTGATACCACTTTTCAGCCTTCAGCAGAGAAGTTACACAGCAACATCAGCAATAAACATCTGACCACTCTAAGCAAATTCTCATCTGCTCAGCAATATGTTCACTGATGAGTAAGTAAAAAAGATTAATGAAAGCTAACAAATCCTTTGGGATATTCCCAGGAAGGTACCAATACTGTCAACCTCCATGGAAAAACACTGTAGTCCTATTAAGTCCTTGCTGCTTGCCCAGTGCCTGGCGTTTAAAGAGTGTTCAATAAGTCTACTGAAGGAATAAATCCAATGTACTCCAACTGTTTCAATAAAGCTAAGAAACTTTCTTAACACCTGATAGTTTCACCAGTAGCTTATCTTTGAAATATTTCACAACATAGCAGACACTTACCATTGTATAGCAAACTGTTAACATAGCAAGGAGAAACATTTTTAAACTTTTCTGAGGGTTTACCTCTAGATTGCTAAGAATCAATGGATGCACACAAACCAAACTAGCACGCTGTGCTCCTAATTGAAAACACTCGAGACTTTTAGTTACCAAAGGTAGTGTCAAAATAGCCCCAGAAAATGCCAATACTAAATACTGCAAATTTTTAAAAACTGGGAAAATGGGAAAGCAACTTATATCCATTCTTACTGATGAAAAATGGAAGTAATTTAAGTAATATTTCTCTTACTCTTCTACCACTCACAATAGCACTAAGCATATCTTTTAACCTGAGAAATATTGTAGTTGAGAGCTCTACTTGAGTTAGTCTCCTCCAAGCCATCTTACTAACTTAATTTGATGAATCTTGTAATAAAATCTGCTACAGAAATCTTCTTGAGGGCCAGCCCCATGGCTTAGCAGTTAAGTGCGTGTGCTCTGCTACTGGTGGCCCGGGTTCGGATCCCGGGCGCGCACCGACGCACCACTTCACCGGCCATGCTGAGGCCGCGTCCCACATACAGCAACTAGAAGGATGTGCAACTATGACGTACAACTATCTACTGGGGCTTTGGGGGGGCGGGGAAAAAAGGAGGAGGATTGGCAACAGATGTTAGCTCAGAGCTGGTCATCCTCAGCAGAAAAAAAAAAAAAAAAGAGGAGGATTAGCATGGATGTTAGCTCAGGGCTGATCTTCCTCACAAAAAAAAAAAAAAAGAAATCTTCTTTAAGAAAATTTAAAAGCCACAATATTAGCTTTGCCATTTGTATGGGAATAGTACTTCGGCAATGGTTTTAAATGAAAAGTTCCAAGAAAAATTCATTCAACCAACATCTGACCAATGCCAGGTACTATGCTAGGTGCTATGGGAGAAAAGATAAATAAAGGAGGGTCCCTGAGCTTAAGTTGCTCACAATGAAAATAGAATAATAGGGGCGGGGCGGTGGCACAAGCCATTAAGTGCGTGCACTCTGCTTCGGTGGCTGGGGCTTCGCTGGTTCGGATCCTGGGCGTGCACTGATGCACTGCTTGGCAAGCCATGCTGTGGTGGCGTCCCATATAAAGTGGAGGAAGATGAGCACGGATGTTAGCCCAGGCCCAGTCTTCCTCAGCAAAAAAGAGGAGGATTGGCAGGTGTTAGCTCAGGGCTGATCTTCCTCACAAAAAAAAAGAAAGAAAGAAAGAAAGAAAATAGAATAATATGTTTTAAGTCTCCACATGCCTCTTCTCACCCCCAGTACCAACACACACACCTGTCTTAGTTTAGTGTTATTCAAAGTGGAATTCACAGATGATAGATCCATAAGGTCTCTGCTAAAATTTTTTAAATGTTTTGTTTTCACCTCAGTGATAATCTAAAAGAAAAATATAAGCATATTCTAGGGCATCGGAATTGCCATCTCATATTTAAGTAGTGCTATGTGATTTCTGTGTCTGAGCTCTCATTTATGACGACAGAGACTTAGCAGTACTACTCCAAATGTCCAGGATAATGAGAAAACAGAGCTGAATTTAAAATATAAATGATCTATCTATGACTGGAGTTAAACGCCACATAGCTTACTTTTAAAAAGGAGAACTGAGTCATCAAATGGCCTAGGGGAGTGTTAACTTGCCATACTCAAAAAGCTTCCGACTTTAACAATCACTATCATATTCTAAATACTTTGGAAATTTAGTTTCAGCAAAATACGATGCCACACTGAATTAATAATTTAGACTGGTTTTATTTGTATTTAATTTGTCTTAGTGTTAAGAGTGGTATAAAAGAGATAGAAGTTTATACTTGTTTTTATGTTTGTACATATTTAATTAATATCCCAATAAAAAATAGTCCTCTATAGTTTTCTTCTCTTAACAAGGGTGCACACACTACTCAGGTAGAGAAATAGTAACTTAGTTCTGACTTCATGCAGGGCTCATCTCTTCACCTTAATTTTTCAGAGGCAATAGGCTAATGTACCATAAAATTACAAAGGTATTTTAGCTGAATACTTTGGCTTTAATTGAAAGGTCAATTGGGTACACAGACAATAACTCAGTTTTTTAGGTCAACTATTCTTCCAAATAGAAGAAACAGGTGATTTGGCCCATAGGAACACAGAAGTGACTCTGCACATTTTCCTCATGTTTAGGGATGGTATCCATGCTACAGGCACTTAACATCTACAGCCAATCCTTAATTCAAGAAGGGACATTATATTACTAACACACTTTGGTATTGATGACAGCAGCCCTAAAACCAAAGGATCTGAATTAAATTTTTAACGTAGACAAGAAAACATTTCAGATATCCTTAACATTAAGAGACTGTTAATTAGGCTGTTCCAAGTAGGAGCATTTACACTGTAGAAATCACCACTTTACACTTTGCCAAGGTACTAACAAATCTCATAAAAGAAAATTACATAGCACAATATTGTACATCAGAAGTCAAAACTGAGGTTGATTTCGGTGTTTAGGACAAAACAGCATAGGGTTTGTTGTTTTTCTGGGGTCCGAAATCCCAAGCAATAATGAACATCATGATAAATAGTTTATGATAAATAAATGATATTTAATATTATGGTTAAGATTGTAATCCTTAACCTATACATATTTTTTGCCCCAAAAGTTCATTTTTTTGCAGATTGTGAAAAATATCCAACATAGTTTTCACTGGAATATTCCCGAATAATGTGGTAACTTGGCCTATTATTTATGTTATTGCTTTTTTTCTCCAGTTACTTTACAAGTAATATTATAATAGAACCATCCAACTCAGGAAAAGTTAACACGGTTAAGAACATATGGAATGGGTTTAGTACAATAATCAAATTTCCAACCTGATTAGGACCATGGGTGCAACATTAAGCAGAAGCCCTTACAAAATCCAAGCGTTAGACCAAATCCTGTTTATGATAATCCCGTCTGATTTTTAAAGAAAAAGTGTTGGTAACTCTCCAAAAACAACTTAGGAAACAAGATAGCACGGACCTTTGTACTTTGTAGGCCAGCTACAAGTACCCAGGAGGGCGGGGCAGCAGAAATAATTACGGTGGAAGGGACAAGCACTAGTCTAGATAAAAGGACTTTATATTCGTAATTTGAATCATATCGATTCGTGGGCATATTCCCTACATCAGATTATTACAAGTGAGGTTACAAAATAGTCCTATGTTTCCACGAAAAACCCGATCAACTAAGTTGGTAAAAAACTTTTTAAATCCAACGTTTCGATTTTTAGTCAAGTACCATATGCGAATCCCATTGGCTCAGTTCTGAGCACACACGGCGCTCAATACTGTGAATGACCCACCTAATTTATAGCCTCACCACAACCATATGAAGCAAGTGCTATTCTTCTTATGTCACAGATGAGGAGACTGAAGCCTAAAGAGTTCAGGAACCGACCACGGGTACACGCTTAACAAGGACTGGAACCGAAATTCCACCCCAGGTCTACTTCACCGCCCAAACCCGACATCGCCTCTGGAGTTAACAGCACGCAGACAACACAAGTAGCTGGAGAGTTAGTTCTTCAAGGGAGAAATAAAACTTCCTAAGCAGAATGAAGCTCACAGGAAACCGGTTCCACGCATAAAGACTGAGTCCTGGGCACTTGTGTATATTTAAGTGATTAAGGGAAAACGCGACACACCGAGGCGTTAGAAAAGACACGTTTCAGGCAAGACGTGGACACCGTTCCAACTCCCACCACGTTGGCGCTAATTACCAGCGTCCGCGCGGTCAGCCGCGGCGGGAGGGCTCGGCCTTCACAGCCGAGGCGCCCTGGCACGACCAGCCCTCCGCACGCGGCGGGGGCAGGCCGCCCGCCGGGCCTTCCGGGCTCCCGGGCCAGCTCCCCGCGCACACTCACCTTCTGCTCCTCCGCGGAGGCTGTCTCGGGGACTTCCGCGGACATACTGCTCCCTCTGCAGACAAGACGCCGGGAAAAGATGCGATC